GGGGGGGGGGGGGGGGGGGGGGGGGGGGGGGGGGGGGGGGGGGGGGGGGGGGGGGGGGGGGGGGGGGGGGGGGGGGGGGGGGGGGGGGGGGGGGGGTTGACCCGTTGTTCGTAGTGGTGCTACTTAGATAAGAGGTTTTCCGTTATTTAAATGCTGCACTGTTATACTTGTACCTTTGTTGGGATTTCCTTTCACGCGCGAAAGCGGTGTCGTTGCTACAAGTTGGATGACAGCGGGATGTGGAAGTGTGAGGCCGAGTATTGAACACATTAAGTGTTGCATGCAGAACAGCTGTAACTGTGGCTAGCAACATGCGGGACGGCGCCCACAGAGACTTGAACAACACGCAACCACAGAAGAGACGTTGTTTTCTGAGCTATGCTATCTTGTTTTGTCTTCCACACAGGTACATCTGTCTGGACGAAGGGGATCGAATGTTGGACATGGGTTTCGATGAAGAGGTGAGGCGGGCAGTTCTAAAACAGATTCGCCGTTTTTTTGTCGCATGGAGTATCCATCTTCCTCACCGTACAAGCGCCAAGTATGACTGCAGAACGAGGGATTGTTTCGCTTGTGAACGGAGACTCAAAATTTTCGCAAAAAATACGAAAAAAGGCCCAAGAAACATTGCTCAACGATGTATATCCTACTCTAAACTCTACATATTACAACCTTTGCTCGACAGTGGCGATGACGTCAAACACTGGACCTTGGGTCCGATTTGACGTTCCTCATCTCCGGGCTCGTTCTGTATTGCACAATGTTGTAGGAGTATAGCCGTAGGGTTCAGATGCACAAGTTTCCCGGTAGCCGCTGTACCGCTGCGTACCGGTGTTTGGCAGGCCACACCCTCCTGCCTATTTCTAAGATATTTTCCCCCGAAAACCAAAACGAAAAAATATATGTGCAGGTACAGAAGATCATGAACCACTTCAAGCAGCAGCGGCAAACGCTCCTGTTCTCGGCCACGATGCCGCAAAAGTTCCAGGACTTCGCGAAGGACGTTCTCGTGAAGCCGATCCTCGTGAACGTCGGACGTGCAGGAGCGGCTAACCTCGACGTTATCCAAGAGGTAGGTGCATGGGTAGGAATAGAACGACGAAAAACTGACAGAAATGAATCCATAGAACGATAAAGTGACAAAAAACAGTAACGTACTTCATGTAGATGCAAAAACGCAAACAGGCTCTTTCGAAAGAGACGAATCCAGAGTGAGATGTCTTGTTGTCCGACGATGAGCAAGATCCTCCGCTCCGATTTGTTCCTCCGGTGGTGTTGTGTATGCACCAGTGGGTACGTAACGTCATCGATAACACCTGCCTTTCATGCTCAGTGCGGGAGAGATGATTTTGACCTAAAGTGGCATGTCAAACTCTTTCGTCAAACCTGCTCTCCTTAAAGTCTTGCGACGTTGCTCTGGCACTGAAGGATACCTCTCCGGTGTACCCGTAACTTGATGATGTGAATCATGTAGCATATGTATATAGCACATGCTTCAACAGCAGGGAAGTTTTGTTAAGTCGAGGTCGGTTGTTGTACTTTTCACCTTGCCCGAGGGCAGGTGGAGTACGTGAAGCAGGAGGCGAAGATCGTGTACCTCTTGGAGTGCTTGCAGAAGACCGCGCCGCCGGTGTGCATCTTCTGCGAGAAGAAGCAGGTGTGTCCGTGTGAGCGTGTGCGTGTGGTCGTTCGTAATGTATGTGTGTGTGTCTTTTTTTTTCAAGCACCGGCCGTGCTATGATAGTACGTCAGCGTCAGTGCTGAACAACCCTGTGTTTATGAGAGAAGGAAGCACCCTCGCTAGCGTGTGCTCAGACGAGGACAGTCTTCCAATTGCGCGTTATGTAAGCATCTTCTTTACTCTACCCCCCCGGTTTGCATTGTGTGTCTGCCCGACGAAAATGGTGTACAAGACGGTCTGCCTGTTTCGTGCTGTGCACAACTTGTGGTCGGGAGTTGACTTCAGCACCCGCTGTTGTATGCGTAGTGCAGGAGCATCAAATGCTGCATTGAGTTTTTGACGTTTCCTCCCGTTGCCTTCGCAGGATTGTTTGAGCGCACAGCACGCACCGCCACTAACCTGGGGGGGTACTCATAGTCGTGCATGGCGTAGTCGCTAGACCATTGACCTCGCATCCCTACAAAGCCGGGACGGAGCACGCCGGGTTCTCACCGGACCAGGCTCTCACATCACCAAGCGCGAAGCGCCGTGAGATATTCGGCGAGTCGCATGAAGGGTGCGCTGCATCCTGCTAAGGGTTTTCGGCATCTTGTGCTTACTTCCTTGCGTACGGATGACAGCTGCGTATGACTTAATTTATTTTCTGGTGCTTTCACTTCCAGAGACAGTTGTAAGCACTGTGTAACTGCCTCGAGGGTGCTTGACCATTTTAACACAACGTGGTGCGATCATCCCCCTTGCGCGGAGTGAGGGTTCTCCACCCCGCACAACATGATCTACTCGACCACCATTATGGTTACCGCCAAAAAAATAACAGAGGTACAATAAAAAAAACGGTAACCTGGTTGCCGAGTTCACGAAGTGAATTGGCTTGTTTTACAACG